CGGAAGCCAGGGAAACAGGAGGCTTGGCTGTCGGCGTGCCCGACACCGTTCTGGGGTTATCCCGCTGCCCCCGGGGCTTTCACGGTCCTGTCCGGGGCGAAATATCCAGGAGGCCCTCAGGGGGAGGTCAGGTGTCAGTAATGCTCGATGGATGCGCGGCAGGAGCGGGGTTTCCAGCTTATTTGTGATCTGTGAGAAGGAACCGTTGTCAATGTCGTGGTGCTGAAGAGTGCCGGGATCATGGTGTCTCAAGTTGATCATAAAATGTAGTACTGGTGCCTGAGGGCGTGATGGAGCGCTGTCACCGCGTTAGAGCGCCTTCCTGGCTTTCTGAAAAGTTCTCCTGGCTCAATTAGAAGCACTGAAGGGAAGGGCCTTTCAGGTGTCCTGTTGTCCCTTTCTGAAACGCCTGTCGGGTTTTTTTTTGTCATGCTCAGCCTTAACTAGAAGGCTTCAAACGTGCCTTTAGCACTGTTAGTTACCTACTGATAGATTGGTCTCTGTTGTAGCACAGACTAAAGACACTTGAGAAGTAATCAGATTGTGTAGGCTCAGTTAATCTTTTCTTACTTGAGCTGGAGTACTTGCTGTGGAGACTGACTGCTTTACTGCGTGTTTGCTGTACCCTGCAGATGTCCTAACAAGAGAGTCCTCCCTGAAACTGAAATGCCGTATTATTTACAGGGAAGGAAAATACTGAGTATTAGTGGCTTTGATTCAGTGCAAGAAAGGTTATAATGTGTCTGGGTTGACTAAAAACCAGCGAAACACTGATCCTGCTCTGGCAGGGGTTGGACTAGGTGATCTTTCAAGGGCCCTTCCAACTCCTAATATTCTGTGAAAGACAAATGATTCTCACTGCCAAGTAGGTTGTATCATCAGGTACTGAAATCAGTCTAGGTTTTTGAAAAAAGTCATAATAGGCGCTTTTTTTGTTGTTTAAATTAATAGGCTAATGTACATACAGAGTATTTGTACAAATTTCTACTTCTTTATGATATTTTTTTTAAATTTCAAATGAAGCTTCTCTAATTCCTTTAAAAATGAGGATGTTGCTTTATATGAAACAAAACTTCTTCAACTTAAAAGTACATACGGTTCCTCTTAGGTTGCTCCTGAGAACAAAGAGGAATGCTACTTAGCCATAAATAGAAAGTTTTCTTCAGACAAAACGCCTTCCTGTGTCTAGCATTTCCTTTTCTGTTTACCCTGTGTATTAGCCTGTCTTCAGTGCTTTGGCCAGCCTGTTTGAGCCTATTTTTGGACAGCTGAAAGCAAACCTATTAATCTTTTCTGCTATAAGTCTTCATTTCCCTTTTGTTTACCATTCATTCCCATCCTTAATTCCCTTTTGTTTCCCGTTTTCCCTCCAGTGTCATAGCTTTTCAGTAGTTGAGGGTCTTATGGCTGAGTCATTTTTCAGAGCAATGCTTTCAGCAGACGAGTCAACTGCTGGTTTTCATGAATTTCTATCGGTGCCTGTCTCTTTTCTGTCATTACAAGTTGCCATACCTGTGGTACGTATAGGCCCATGTTCAGAGGCCCACTCTCAAAGGGGTTTGAGAAATTTTTCATGATTTAGTTCCCATCAGCTGAGATGCAACTCTTAGAATTCTGCTGGTTAACGTCATTTCATCTGAAAATGAGTTAAAACACTTTCTATCATTTGAATGTTCTTACATATCTCATTGTTCTTAATTTTGCTGTCTAGTTGGGAACCCCTCAAAAGCCCTCTTTCACTGATGTGAAACTGGTAATGTTATAAGTGGTGTTATTTCTGGGCTCTCAGCTTCTAGAAAGAAATGTGCCACGGTGGAATTAGGAGTTAAGCCTAATCTTTCACTTGGAGCTGGTTGACTTGCAGACAAGCTATGTGAGTCGCTTAATGTGAGGTTAGTTTTCTAGCTCTTGTGCATGCAGTATTGTACATATAAAGGAAATCCAACATAGACTTTTCTGCCCTGTTTGGGAAGGAAAGAGAATTTGCTTCCTGCAAGACTGTGAATGGACTTCTGAAAACTCTTAAGTTGCCAAAACAACATTTACTAGGACTTTGTAGCTGAGGTAATATGTGACAGACACAGAATGTTAACCCTTTGCTATGATCATTAAAATTAACTGTGTTGCCACTAGAAGAATGATAGTAGGCAAAATATGCTGATACGTAGGTCTATGAACAGATGAAGAGTAGATTCCTGTGGATTTAATGTCTCAGGGTTGAGTTTCTGATCCCTAATAAGGCTGATCTTGTGCTTAATTCTAAGTATGCCCATTGCTCCCTTTACTTGGTATCTTAAAGTTGTTTTCACAAAATGCTTTGAAACTGAAAACCTTGTTAAGCTTGGAGGAAATCGATCACTGAATCAGTTGCTTATTGGGTTTCGAGTGATTATGCTGCTTGTCGTGCTTGCTAAGATCAGAAAGATGTTTTAGCCCAGAGAATTGACACTGTAGTTAAAGAAGGAATTCGGAATTGAGAGAAGTCTCGTTTCATGCCTGCCGGTGATACCTGCGGTCTGCGTGCTGCAATGTGGATCTTGCTGATGAGGCCCTTGTAATGACTGAGGGGAAAATACACTTTGTTGTAGCAATGTGCAGAACAAACAACAGACTAAGTTGTTTGGATTTTTTTTGTACTGAATTGTGATAAAGAAGTCTATTATTCCCTGTTGTTATTTCTACCAGTGTTTGTTTTACTTTTCACTGTCTTTGAAAATACCCCATATTTTCTGTCTCCCAGTGCTCAGTGTTCATATTTTCTCAGCCTTATTTAAACTTTGTTTCAGCTGACTAGAGAGTGGCACTGGAATAGCATAAAAGGTACTTTAGTGAGATAAGAGGAGGGAAGATGAGGTAAATTGATCGCTTCAGAAAATGTAAGCAATATCGGTGTACTTGAGCACAGGCTGAGTGCGTTGATTTACTCTCCTTTCATGTGCGAAAGGTTTCTATCCAAGTCTGTGGGATACAAATACACACCCTTTAAAAAACTAAATAGAAAGCTCTGGAAATAAACATCAAGTCTATATAAAATACAATATAAGAATTGAATCTCATCCCTGATTTCTTTGGGAAACTTGAGCTCTAATGGCTAGAAGATTGACATCTTTACTGGGTTTTTTGGTGTTGATTGCAGGATGAAAGGGAGTTTGAGAGTTTGCCAGTCTATTTTCTCTTCTCCAAAGTGGGCTCAGACTGTCTCTCCCAAAGATGCTGTTAACACAGATCTTATGATGGTGATTCTGTGACCTTTAGGCAAACCACTGCCATATGTAACAGTTTAAGAAAAAAATCTATCTAACCTCCCTTGTTAGGGTTGTAATTTCAATCAGTTACTATGTGACCATGCTGTACCACTCACAGCTGTCTGTAGCTTTAAAAAATTTCTTTTGCTATATGTGATGATTGTTCTCCCATTTTCCCTCCTCCACCTTGCCACTCTTAAGACTCAGCAATCCCCATTCTTTCCTTACAAGCTGTATTTCTTCTGCCTCAAGTACTTTTTGAATTCTAGCCCAGTGAATTGCCCATTACAGCATCGACGCAGTAATTTGGGTTGTGTCAAATTACCATTGGATAAGAGAAATTCTATTTCACAAGTTACAAGATGTAAAGAGAGAGTCATGTTGTTTGGTGTTAGCTTTTTCTGTCTAGAACATGACATATTCACCTTGAAATACTAAAGCTCTTGAATAGTCTTTTTTTTTCTCCAGTTGGACAAACAGTGTCAGCTGCAAAGTTAATACACATATTACATCATTGGGTCACTTAATGAAAATAGAGAGTTCTCACTCGTTATCTCTTTAATGTGACACTTAATTTCTGTTAACTGCTCTGTGAGTTCTGATACTTGCCCAGTTTTGCTTCAATTTTAGGAAAGCTAAACATAGTTCATGTTTCTTTAGCTTACTTTTCTGAATATCGTGTGTGTCCAAGGGTTAAAAACAAAAAAGTGACCTCTACTGCTTCTTCCCTATTTAAAAATTTAGTTACTCATTACCACATCAATTGATTTTATATCAATGGTTACATTGTTTTGGTGTGTGGGGGTTTTTTTTTTTGATAACAGATCTTTTCCTGGAAACTTAAAATCATCTATTTTCATTTTTCCCACATATTTAAATTAAGTTGATTTAGTCTATAACCTTCTTCCGTAATACCTCCAGTTCTCCCTGAGTCATTAAGATACTGGTTCTTAGACTTGCTTTAGACTTAGTTTCTTGGGGTTATTTGTCTTAGTTGGCCCTGGCCAATCTGAATATAGCTTAGCAAGTAGCTTGAGACAGAGGGGAATGGTTGCGTGTTTTGGAGGGATAATGTGCCTTGGGCTATCGTCTTATCCTGGGTATTTAACACTTAGAAGTATAGGGGGTGCATCTTTTGATTCAGTGCTGTCCAAATGGGCTCTGCCTCTTACATCATGGCACTGCTTCATGGTGTGAACAAACGTAACAACTGAGGAGCAGTTGGAAAGTCTGCTTCCAAAGTACATCCTGCTGACCTGAACCAGAGAGGCTGATGTCAATGTATTCTGAGTCTATAAATTTGCTTTGGGAATACTGTGCAAATCGGAGACAACTGGGATTTAACATCCATTGTTTTTTTCTGGCCTTCTTGCCTAGGTTTGCAGATACTAATGGCAGTTTCATACAGTGACTCGGACAGCTTCCTTAGGGGTCGAATAGGAAGGCGGACACCTTTGAGAGCATCCCACAACAGAGCTCAGAACTGTGGTGCCGAAGAAGTTACAGAGAAGATCCATACTTTAGCAAGCACTTTACAGGTTGTCTACAAAATACAGTTATAAAGTATTTCTAGCCTGCTTTCGTGTAACATGGGGTCAAATTTTTGTTTCTGAAGTTGTGGAAGATAGTGCACTGATGGGAAACGTTGCTATCTGTGCAGACCAAAAAGGTTTTGGGAAACTTTTGAGCTGCATGTATGTGTTACACTTTGATGCAGCCACTATTTCAAACAGTAATAGAATGTTGTTAGAAACATTGACTTGTTTGGCAATACAGTTTATAAAGCCAGTGAACTGCTTAATGCCAAATAAACTTTGTCAGATTCTCACAAGAGGTGTTAATTGTTGCAGCAGGAAGTTCCAGCCCTATCTTTGTTGTCTTGTACTGTGTAAAATTTCCCAGCTCCTAATAAATTAAATATGTAGGCAGTCAATTCCCTCATTATGGAGTTTACAATTCAAATATTTTCTAGATGTGGAACAGCACAGTATTTGTAGACTTGTACGAAATCCATACCCAAGCAGGAAAAATTGTTCATCTAATTCCTGCATCTTCAGTGGAGGCAGCAGAGGAAGTCTCCGCATCTGTTTTGTGGGTGAGAGGAGGCATTTAGCTCTCTTGACACCATTTACTGCTTGAGGAGTCATCCCCATTCTTCTCTAGCTGACAGTTCTGATTGCCTAGAGTGGGTGGGCCTGGGTATTATCACTTATGTTAAGGTACTGTTTGGCTGACAATGTGTGTGGGTTTTATCTGTTTGTTTTATTTGTTTGTTGTTTTTTTATCTTTTTAATATGTGAGAAGAGAAAAATACATAAAAATGCTGAATTGAAGCTTCAAAACTTTTTAGCTGGAAAATAATCAAGCTAGAAAAGAGATGAGTTAATAAGAATGTAATCTGACTGCTTTCAAAAAGGGACTCTTTGGTATTGTCCTGTTTCTGTCTAAGCTCTTTCCAGCTGCTCTTCTGGAATTCTGATTTTAAGCTAATTGCTTTTTGTGGACCATCTGATCCAGCTCTTCATCTGGTCAAACAATGCTCATGCAGAGACCTTACTTAATGTGCTGATCTTCACACTTTTGGTTTTTTCTGTTAACTTAATTCTGTTTTACAGGCAGGTAAAGTTAAGATCTTTTGGATGAAATATTTTTCTACAGAGTCCCTGAAACTTCTGAAACTTGTTGTTTGAAGCCAAGGCCTTGCTGTTGTACTGTAAATGATAGGGTGGTTTGTTGTGGTTGTGGTTGTGGTTGTTTTTTCCTTCTCTTCAGTTGTGATGAACCTCTTCAGATTCTGGTTACTTGAATAGGGTTTTGAATGCTTACTCTTTAAAAAGCACTTGTTTATAAGAATAAATTGATAACACAATGGATAATAAAGACAACATTAATGTTTTATTAGAGGAGGCTTCTGTTTTGACTTTTCTTCCTCAAGCTTTTTTCTTTTTTTAAGGACACCAACAGAAATCTAAGACATGTTGACCACTTGCTAGGACAATACAGAGAATACAACAAGGAACAAACTGAGGCAATAGCAACTGTGAGCAACTTTCAGTTTAATCTTAACTTCTTAAATCTTTTCTTCTAATAGCATTCATAGCTGAAAACTTGGCAGTAATGGACAGAATATATCAAGACTTAAGTAGATGTAAACAGAAACTTCATGTATTTATTTAAGCAATCTGAATCAGGCTATAGTAATGTGTTATACAATGCCAGTGGCAGGTTCTCCAGCTTCATTACTTTCCTGGTTGATAAGCACCAAATAGATTGGTAAGTTGTTATACTATGCCAAGTACAAGGTGCACAGCTGAAACAGGGTATTAAGGAACATGTTTCTTTTGCATGAATGAGTGATAAGATAAAAGCTGAATTCCAGCAGGGAGTGAGATTGTGATCATACAGGTGTAGGTTTTGCTGTTTTTAGGCTGTCATTGAGCACTGCTGGTGAATAGGTCTTGCTTTGCTTGTAGGAGACATATTTTTCTCTTCAATTTTCCTGGTGTGTTGCACCACTGTTTTAAGAGACTTGGTATTTCAAGCTGCCAATATTGGAAACATGTTTTACTGTAGTGACGGGAAAACTACATGTGAGATATTGAAGAAAAGCTGCTATTAATTCATAGCTGTACTTGGTTTAAAAATAGTTTTGATTCTCTTAATGTCTTTTTTTGAAAGATATTTTATATGTATGATTTTCTCAATCAGTCTGTGTTCATATTTCAGTAAACTGTAATTTCTCTGCAGTTAAAAGAAAGACTGGAACAGTCTGTAGGTCAAGTAAGGAGCCAACGATTAACCCGAAACTCTACAATGAGAAGTGCTTCTCTCTCAAGCTTATACCCCAGTGATGCGGATGGAGAAGAAGCATCAGGTAAAATGCTTAAGGTGCTTGAGTATACTTAAATTGCATCATGTAGCTGTCGTGTGAAAAGAGGACATTAAGAAGAAAAATGTGTAAAAACAGTGGCATGAGAAGTCATCATTGATTACTTCAAAGAAATTCAGTTTAGAAATCTCAGAGACCTGCCTTAAGTTATGCAGTTGTTTATTTGGTAAATTTTTATAGCTTTCTGTTGCACTCTTTTCAACTGATATCCTGAGAGAGCTAAATAAAACATTGATTCTTTCAGTAGAGAGAATTCCTTGTCCACTGCAGGAGTTGTAGGTATATACAACTTAAAGCTAAATCCAAAAGATATTGCAGTTTCTGAAGCTTGCTTCGTAGCAACAAGAAAAGTTATAGTTTAAATGCATAAGATTATGGATCTGTGGATGGAATTATGTAAGGGTCAGTGGAAAAGGACAGATGAAACCAATGTATAACCTACAGAAAAGTAGCTTTTTCTTGTGTGTTTCTCTGAAAATTCATTTTATTTTAAGAAATGGTGTATTTGGGAGGAATATTCCTCCCAGAAGTAACATTTAATATATTTTAGTAGAAAACTCTGAAACTTTCATTTTTCTAATGTGCAAGCTGTGAAGTAATGTATTTTGAAGCTATAGTAGCTCTATCACAGAATCACAGAACGTTAGGGATTGGAAGGGACCTCCAAAGCTCATCCAGTCCAATCCCCCTGCCGGAGCAGGAACACCCAGATGAGGTTGCACAGGAAGGCGTCCAGGCGGGTTTTGAATGTCTGCAGAGAAGGAGACTCCACAACCTCTCTGGGCAGCCTGGGCCAGGGCTCTGTCACCCTCACTGAGAAGAAGTTTCTTCTCCAATTGAAGTGGAACCTCCTGTGTTCTAGCTTGTGCCCATTCCCCCTTGTCCTATCATTGTTTGTCACCGAGAAGAGCCTGGCTCCATCCTCGTGACGCTCACCCTTTAAATATTTATAAACATGAATGAGGTCTCCCCTCAGTCTCCTCTTCTGCAAACTAAAGAGCCCCAGCTCCCTCAGCCGCTCCTCATCAGGGAGATGCTCCACTCCCTTGATCATCTTTGTAGCCCTACGCTGGACTCTCTCCAGCAGTTCCCTCTAGTTTACTCTAGGTGGAGTAAAAGCTTGGGCAAATAAAATTTGAGGAAAATACCTACATATTCCTTGGAGAAACAAAGGAAACCTCTTTCTTACCTACCACGTACATGTATTTCAGTAATATTTAAGTTGGAGAAGAATCCTGGAAGAGCTAAACAAGAACTATGCCTATGCATTTCATGTGGCTTCAGTAGTTGTTTTGTCTGTAATGTGGCTATAAGGATATTGGCAAGATAAAACAGGTTTTTTGTGAAGCAAAATGAAAAATTTCCTGTAAGAAGTTTTGACTTCCTACTTATTTCTTTATTTCTTATCTCATAAAGGTAACCGTCACTTCCTGCCTACTTCTCCTCTCAGGGATTATGGAGACCCACAGGGCAATAAACATCGAAGGTGTAGATCTGCAAGTGTTCGATTTGTCAGTGAGGCAGATAATTTGAACCAGGTACAGAGCACTAATGGGAGTTGCTTCCACAAATAGACAACATGTGGTCACCAAGCTCTTTGCTTTTAGATCAAACGAGGTTATTCTGATGATGCAGCTAGGGGTGTTTCAGCTATGAGGTGTGTTTTAATGTTACGTGCCGTTCTTCATGAGGCAGTCGCCTCTTGGTATCTGTCAGTGTCTTGAGGTTTCACGCACGTCTATCATTATAGATAAAAGTGCAGATGGTAGTGATATCAAAAGGAATGTATGAAAACAACCTTTGCATGTTTTAGCCATATGTGAGAGAGAAAAATAATTTCTGAACATGTGATTAACATCTACCTACATGCTGAAATCCAGTGTGGCTATAAAGGGGATTGTTCTATTTTAGTGCTTTTGCTGTTTCCTTCAGTGTAGCTTGGATTGATTTTTGAGCCAGTTAGTTCTTCATCTTAATTCTAGGTCTGACCTGTGAGTAAGGTAATTTGACCCCATACTTCAGGCAGATGATGTGAGGAGGAGAGGATGTGTATGGCACTGGTAATTTTCGTACCCTTCAACTTGTGTTTACTTGCAGACTCTTCAGAAAAAAACAAATCACTTACTTTAATGGATAAGATTATAGGCTTTCTATATACTACAGATAGGAGATTTCAGTACCCATTTTTGCTCTTTCAGAGTGGCTAGACCTGCTTGAGTGAATCCCTCTGTGTGGACTAATTTGTCCAGGAGAAATGTATTATGACTGACACTATAGCGGCTGATTGTAAGGTGTTCGTGTTGACTTCATTAAATCAGTCTCAACTTCTAAATCATTAATTTTAAACCTAACCACAAGATGTTATCTCAGTTTTTGGGAAGTCTGAGTGCTACAGAAACTCCTAGACTTCTGTTTAACTGTGTTTCATTGTCCTTTTGGTCTACTTCTCCCACCGTTCCTTCCTCCCCCAAGATTAGTGTAGAACATAATCCTTGGAAAGAAATAATGTTATACGGAAATCTTTCTTGTTAAGCTTCCAAAAAACTTAGAAATGTTTTATTCTACTTCTAAATATGCTTATAACTGTCGTAGAAATCTCATTCAAGAGAGTTCCTGCAATGCATGCAAAATCCCTGGTTTATATTAAACAACTATGTAAGCAAATAGAGTTTTTTCCCTCTTTTGATGATAGCTATTGGTTTATTCCATATTCGTGCTTTTCAGTGAGCGAACATAGCTTTGCTCAACCATTAACTACTTTGTAGGATGAATATAGTCCTTTCAGGAATGATGGACTAGAGGCAGTCATTGATCATGACCATAGGTAGAAACTGGGGCAGAGATAAAGCAGTACTGCTTAACTAGAGCTGTGGTGTTTTCTTCTTTCTGTAACCACAGTCCCTTTATTCCCATTCTGACTGCTTCTAGCTGAGGTAATTTTCCAGCTGAATGGGCTTTTAACACATTTGAGTTTCTCAATGTGTGAGGCTCCTTCTTAGGCTGATACATTCTGAAAATAAGCTGTGTTTTGCTTAGTCTTTTGGATCAGGTTGAAATTTCTGGTTAGTCATATAAGGGAGATGGTAGTGCCAGTGTCTGAGTGTTGAGGGCAGTCAACTGGGCTGTGGAAGATCCAGGTTTAAGTCTTGGGCATAGGACAAGTGGATGTTATGGACTCGGGGTTTTCTTAATGACAACTGTGGCCACTGAGCTGTTGACAGCAGTAGGATGGATTAACTGTCACATTTTATCCCATGAAGGATAGATGGCCTATTAGGTTTTTTATTTTGTTCCCTTGAAGACTTTGACCATAGATTGGGGGCCTGCTGAATGGGGGAAAAATGGGAGGTTTTACAGAGGAAAATAGATGTTGTTTGGGGTTGGTTTTTTGGTGGTTTTTACCTCTGAAAAAAGCATTCTAGTGGAGTATGTAAAGTCTTGGGCACGGTAAAATACCTTTCCCCAGCGCTTTAATAGTTCCCAAATATATCATAATGTTCTGCTTGGTCACTTCTGATTCCATATGCCATCTTTTTATAGTAAGTTATGTAGCTGGGCAAAACTTTATTTCACTTATACTAACATTTATTAGCAGGAAATGTGTCTCGCCTGACTTCACCTGTTCAGATCTTTCAACTTGCATTGCATTAGGTTAAAAAGATGGTGCAGCGTCAGGTAACTGGAATGACCAAGCTCTGAACCATAGGAAAAAAAATCAGAATTGGGAAACTTGGTTTAGCAAATAACGTGCTGAAAATTAAACTTCAGTGAGCAAGCGTTGTGGAGGGTTGGCTGAATTAGAAGTGTGCAAGCCTCATCTACTCGTCTAGGCTCATCTGCATGAGGCGTGGAATTTTGTGACTACTTTGATTGTTTTTATCTGCTTTATTTTGACAAGTGTGTATGTAGGTATATACATATTTCTGGAATAGCACAGAAAAAAGGGCTTCTAAGCCTTGGCCTAATTTGTGTACTTTTAATTTGCAGCTGCATTCTCTCCACCAGTCCCTTCGAGATCTCAGTAGTGAACAACTTCGCCTTGGAGATGACATCAGTCGGGAGCTTTCAAGGAGAAATCGGTATAAACAGGATGTAACTCCTTGTGAAGAACAGTGTGGAAAAGACTTGTTATGCTTCTAAATAATTCTTAAACTTCTTTGTTCTTTTGTATTTAAAAGATAATATTGGGGAATTGTACAACGTGTAGATGAAAGCAGTATTGGGAACTGCTTGTTCCATATCATCTTGTGCAGTGTTTTATAAATGTAAATGACAACCATTGATTCTGATTTGTATAGTATAGGGTGGCTTTTGCTCCCTTTTTAATATGGACAAAACAAGGATGTGGGAATTTCCTTTATTACAACTTTGCTCTTTATTTGTTCTTGCTTCTGGAGTCTCTCGAGGGCAAGCTCTCATGCAGGCCATCATTTATTATTTAGGTACATACTGTCTCAACATATGGTGCTTTGTCTAATAGCAATAGCAGGAATTAGTCCACTAATTCGTAGTAGGAACTAGTAGTATCCAGAAGGATGTATTAATAATTTTGTACTTGTTGGCCTGTTGCCTAGCCTTTCAATCTAGATGCTCTGTTATCTTCACTCGAGGAATGGAAATGCCTTTTATCAATTTTCTGCTTGAGGCTGGTCTCTAACTGATGCTAGGAATTTAGAGGCTGCAGAGCAAATTGAAGTAGCATAAAAATCCAGGAGATTGCTGCTGCTTAAAGTTATCGTAGTTGATATTTAGTTTTTCCACTGTAGAATATTGTCTTACCTAATTTTTTCTATGAAGGACTGATGCTGAATTGAGGAAGACTCTAGAAGAATTGTCTGAAAAGCTCACCGAGTCCCAAAGACAAGAAACGGTGAGTGTGACTAACCTGAAAAGATGATTCATATTTAATATTCTAAGCGGGATGTGGACTTTGTTTTAATGTGTGTGTTGGTAATCAGTACCATGCATCAGTACGTATATCTGACCGTGATCTTATTTAGGCTACTATAGGTTGTTGTAGTGTTAACCTTCCATAGTGAAATCAGCAAGACAAGTTTTATATTTCAGGTACTTGTTTAAAATAGAATCATAGATTGCCAGGTTGGATCCACAAGGACCATCCAGTCCAACCTCTCAAGGTAAAAGTAAAGTTTAAATGAGTTGAGTCAGCACCCTGTCAAGCTGACTGTTCAAACTGACCAGTGCAGGGGAGTTCACCACCTGGGAAATCACCCCTGGGAGATTATTCCAATGTCAGTCACCAAGGTGAAGGATGATCACACTGGGGGACCTTGCTGAAGTGGCAAATGCAGCTAAACCACAGAAAATAAAAGCGAGGGTTTTACAAGTGTCTATGTAGTGAATTTTTTTGCTTCAAAATTCATAGTCTTGGAGAAAGCTGTTTTTTAACTTTGAACATGGATTTGATACCATACAGGTTGAAGATACCTTTTTAAAGAGAGAGGCTTTCCCACGTTGTTATGATGAATTACATTGTTTCCTCTTCCTCCCTCCATGTCCTTTGCAATCCTTGTCTGTGCAGTGTAACAGGAGGAGTCTCTTTGGGCTGCACTCTCCTCTGCAGGCTTTGTGACAGAAGTGACAAAGGAGCCAGGACAGCCATTACAGTCTCTTCCTTTTTTTGCCTCCTGTATCTGCTGGAAGCAGACTGACAGCAGCCTATATCACTTAAATATGAAAGTGGTCTGCCACTGAGATGGTTGTCAAACAGTGTATTGCTGTAGGAACAAGAGAAGTTGAGAATCTCTCCAGTAGGTGAAAATCCTGTAGGTAGTTCTGGACACCTAAGAGTTGAGTGTAAGCTTTGTGTAAGTATTAATGTGGTATCAGTAGCAATACTGACTTTTCAGAGCAAGTGTTGTGTGTGTCCTTACTTTCCCGTGGGTGATTCATCTTGCCCTAAAATTACATGAATAAGTACTATATACTCTGTCAAAAGCTGTCATGATGTGTTTGTCACTGGTAACAATATTGTTGGCCCAGACCACTTGTTAGTATCAGCAGACTTGGTAATTGTACTTGTGTAAGTTCCTGACTTTAGACAAAGTTGAACAGGGATTCAAGAGACTATAATCTATCTTTTACATGTTTGATATGATAGAACCAGTGGAGGAAGGCTTACCTGGTCAGCCTTCCTAGAAAAGTATAGCAGGCTGTCTTTGTTAGGATGTCAGCTCTGCTTTATCCTAATAGCCAGGTAGGATAGCATAGGTTTATCTGATAAAGAGTTCTTGATACTTGCAAAACTCTAGGTTTTTCTTGTTGTGGCATACTTCTCAGTATACTTTTTTTTTTCTCTTTCATGTACCAGCAAATTAGCAAACTCAGTAAGTCTTAACCAAGGTGGTTCCCAAGAAACTAGCTACTGTGGCTGGCTACACTACAACTGTTCATGCCTTCGAATGAGAGAAACAAACCTTCCTCTTCTGGCACTCACTGTCTTTTCTTTAATGAGAGAAAGAACTAGCTCTCTGTGACCTCCTATGGTAGCATCTCAAGATTTGAAATTGAACGTTACAACTTTTGACCTGAGAGAAGCAAAAAATGAGACATGTGAAGTGTAACAAGAAAGCCTTCTGTAGTTTGTTAATGGTAAGGGAAATACTGGGTGAATAAGTCTCTTAGTTGGGAGAGAACCTTCTCGTCCAATAAGGCTGTGAAAGCTGAGTGTTTAAGGTGTTTAGTGAAGACACAAACGCTGCAGTGAGCTGCAGGTGGTTTTCATGTGTAGGACTAGTAAGACTTCAGCTTGAGTATTCTACTCATTGCTACTTATTATCTTTAGGAAGAACATTGGCCAAATGAAGAGAAGACCAGAAAGAGGAGAGGGGAAAAAAAAAGGAAAAATAAAAAAGGCCACTCATTCCAAGACTTTCTCGAAAGGTTAAAACAATTGCTGGGGTTCAACTTGCTGTAGAAATATGGAGTTAGGAAAGATCCAGCCTTGTATGGTAAATGGTCAAAAAGTGGATTTTTAGTGTATTATATTAGAATAGAAAGGCATCTAATGATAATTCTGCACAATACTCATCTAATCACTTGTGGCTTAGGAGCTTCTCGGTCTGCAGAGGATCTCTGTACTTTCTGTACTTAATAATCCCGCTGTGGATTCACTGGAACTTGTCCAGTCTCTGTTATAGCTTGCATTTCTCTATCATCATCATCTTGTCCTGTAGCAAGGAGTTCTCCAGATAGATTACATATTGTGAGAGGAGCTGCAACTTTTGCAGTGGTTTGGTTTTTTTTGTTATTTTTTGTGTGTACTTGGTATGTTTTGATTGGTGTATTTGGTTTGGTTTTGTTGTAGGTTTGTAGTTTGTAGTTAAATCTAACTGCTTTTTCATCCCTAACTTTCATTGGAGGAGGTTGTTCAGTTTCTTCAGAGGCTTTTCAGAAAAAGATTCCCTTTCTCTTCAGGCTGATGCTTAATCCCTCAATCCCTCATAGTATCCAGGCAGCTCTACACCACTGAACAAGCCTGGCGGTAGCAATGTTCTGCACTGCTGCTTTACCTGTGCTCTCTGGTACTGAGTGTGGTCCTTAGCCCTTGTTCAAAGCCTAATGATCTACTGTTACATTGGTGAGGCTGACAGAATGGTGAGATGAGGTAAATGCAGAAGAGAGGAATTTAGTATGGACATTAAGAACAAAATAACTCTAATGGTGAGCATAGCAAAGCATGAGATTGGAGTTACTGTAGATTTTTGAGTCCTTTAGTACCTGTCTGGTTTAGGAATTATTCTAATGAGATAACTTAATTCAGATCTGATTTCTCATTGGTGAAAGTGAGTTGAGTCAAAGGAAATACTTTTTTTCCTCACAACTTCCTCATCCAAAGTTGTGCAGTAACTTTTGTCCAGTGCCTTTATGAATTTGCTTTGGAGTGTTTCTCACCTCCAACATTGCCATCCTTGTGTTTGTATTCTACTGCATGATTCTTGGCGATAAATTGTCACCTTGAAATCTTGATAATTTGACAGGGTGAGTTCATAGTAGAAACATTCTTTTCAGTTCAGTGTCCTGAAGTCTTCACTGCTGTATGGATATGTATCTAAATTCTTACAGCTGCACTGTTCAGTGTATTCAGTGCTGTTTGAAAATTGCCCGTATATCGATGGGTGGTGATAAAGGTCTAATGGCTTCATTTGTTCTGAGTCAGTAGTTCAGAATTCATTTTTATTAGATGTTATGAATCTTAGATCTTTTTGATGCTGAATCTAAATAATTATTTTTAAGATCAACTCAACACAATAAATGTACATTAATTTTACCTTTAAAGAAAGCCTTTTCCACCCCAGTATAAGAACCAGAGGACATCTGAGGTGGTGGCACAGGCGTAGTTGGATGCCTGTCTCAAATCAAGCACTCTCAGTGGCCTTGAGAATCTATGTGCAGTTTTGATATAAGGACTGCAAGTTCTACTACTCTCTCTATATCAAAATCTCTTACCTTATCTAGACATTTTCTGATAGTCTTCTTTTTTTTCGTGAAAAGACTTTGGATGCTTGCTAGAGGAATATCCATACAGACCTAAAAACAACTGAAGGAGTCTTTGCTTGCTTTATGGTTATGTAGATAACCCTCTTGGATATTCTGTCGCAATTTCCTGGTGTAGAAGCACATCTCAAACAACACAAGCAGCTGATCTTTATGCATAAAAAGCACCTGCACCGAAGCACAGATTTATTCAAATTAAGTAGATGCTTAATTGAGATGATGCCATTAGAAGGTTAGGGCAGGCTGTGTCTGTGCAAAAAGACAGCAGTGTCAAGTGAAATGGGTCTCCCATGGAGTTAATGTGGTTATGATACCTCATTATTACCTCAGGATTATTGTCAGATAAGGAGCTGTTGTTCAGCAGACCAGACACACGTGTTTTTGGCACTGCACAGGTGACTTATGAAATGTGTATCACACAGTATCATTTGCCATAAGGGAAAAGTTTAACAATACTTAAAGTGACATCTGTGAAAGAAATTTGCCAGTTTTGTGATTTTTCATACTTCTGTTTGCAGTCTGCATTGATGATAAAAAAAGGTCATAGCAAGAAAGGCAACAAAAATCTGTTGAAATAGATTTTGGTCAGCAGGACTTGCGCACTAGAAATCAGTGGAAAGCTGAAACACAGGAGAGAATTTCAAGAAGGAGGATGCTGCTTTTTGTAGGTTAAGCATCCAGCATCTTCCACAAGATTGTGTTTGACTGCATGAGGTGAAGGTCACCCTGGTTTTAAGCAGGACATTCTATTCTTTGTGTTTAATCGGTGGCGGAGGGACTTTTTGATAGCCTAATCCATTTTCATAGATTTTTGCTGCTACCTGAAAGCCTTACACAGACACAGCTCTAAGCGTCATAATTATCATTATCTATTATTATAGAAATGTTATCCTGAGTTAGGGTCATTTGGGATAAAGGAAGAGAAGTGAGTTTTAGAGTTTCTTCTGCATGTACTAATTAATGGATTAACACTTAACTCCTTCTGAGTTTGTAATGCCTATTGTGTGTCACAGGCTCTGTGACAAACTGAGGAAGGTCAGAGAGGCTACAAAACCAGGGAGCATCATTCTTGTGGGAGATACCAGAGTAGACTGGGTAAATGTTATGCTGGGGGAACTACATTTTTAGGTGGTGTATTAACTGCTTTGTGGAACAAAAAAGCAAGAATGTTCCAGAAGGGAAAGAAACAAAACCCCAGTTATTTGTTATGAAGAAGAGTCCCGTGGAACAAAAAAGCAAGAATGTTCCAGAAGGAAAAGAAACAAACCCCTAGTTATTTGTTATGAACAAGAGTCCTGTCCATGACTTTTAATCTGTGAAATATTCACCTTGTAACAGTGTTCAGAATAAACT